GAGCAGCCGCCCGCTCGCGAGCGAAGTTTTAACCCCGGGAAAGAAGAAAGTTAAAGGGAGCCGGCCCGGGACGCGAAGAGAGCGAGAGCGCGAGCGGGTGGGACCCGGGAAGCGCGAGAAAGAGAAGCAGAGACAAAGAGAAAGCGAGAAGAGCGCCCCGGGAAACCCCGGAGAGGGGGCTGGGCCCGGCGCGCACCCCGCGGAGGGAGGAGGGGCGGGCCGGGGACTGTCAGCCTCGCCCGGCCCCGCGCCGCCCGGAGAGCCCCGCAGGTTTCCGCCGGCCCCACGCCCGGGGGAGCGCGCATGCCGGGGGGAGGGGACGATTTTCTCCCTCCGGGTCCCAGCCAAACACATCTGTGTTTGTTTTCTTTGCTGCGCCGAGGTCGGGCCTTCCTCTAACCCAGCCCGATGGCCCTGGTGGCACCGCGTACAGGGCCGTGGCCCTGTCGGCAGACAGCCCGGGATCGCGAGGAAGAGGAGGAGGATGCAACCTCTGCCTGCTTGCTCCTCCTGCCCGAAGTCCCTGGGGTCTGGCGAGAAGGGGCTGCCCGCCCCCGCCACCCTCGCATAGTTGTCTTCGTGTGGTGGGTCTGTCTGTCCGAACGCGGCTCCTTTCATGCCGGGGGCAGCTGTGGGGGCAGGAGACTGAAGCGGAAAGAAGCCGACAGCACCTGGGCACTGGCCAATGCCCCTCGCAGACGCAGAGGGGTCTGCCAGGCCTCAGGCTGGGGACAGCCCAGCCCTCCCCAGATTCCCTGAGGCAGGCTTATGGGTACTTCCTGGCTCACGTTTTTAAGGGTGCTATACCCTATACTATCTCATGGGAGCCCCACAACAGCTTTGCAAAGTAGATATTAACTCCATTTTGCAGATGAGGAAACTGAGGTCTCAGGAGGTGAAGAAACTTGCCCAAGATCTCCCAACTAGTAGACATCAAATCCAGGAATAGAGACCTGGGCACCTTTCTCTCCTCACATTTGTCAAATGGACAATCCCAGGAGTTATCGTCTCGTGGGGCATCCTCCAGGCCACCCAGCTTCTCCTTCTTGCCTCATTCTCTGCCACCTTAAAAAGACTGAGGACAGTGAGAGTGTCCTTTGACCATCCTGCAGCAGCCGCCAAAGAGCTTTGGGGAAAGAATACACTGGCCTGAGAGTTTGGAAGTGAACTGCTGTTAGTTTGTTACTTGGAGATGAGTAATCTACTGATAGACCTGGATTGACAGCCCAGGGTCCTGGTTCTGGCCCAACGGCTGACTTGCTGCATTGTCTCCATTAAGTGCCTTATTTTGTCTTATTGGCATTTTCATAAACTCTTGAGAATCTAAGAAGAGGCCTCAGGGTTCATCTGGCCCAGCTCAGTCTCCTTGGAAGAACGCCTTCTCCAGCCTCCCTGAGAGATGGCCACCCAGGCCAGCTCTTCCAGGGATGGGAGTTCACCACAGCCCAAGGAAATAAATCCTTCCCGTTGCAGGACAGCCTGTATTCATCCTCTCCCCTGGGGTAGCGTTTTAGCTCTGTCTTCTTGTGCCATTCACCACTCTCTACACTGTTTATTTATGCCTTGCCTTGTGGCAGAAAGGATTTCAGGTAACTTACAAGAGTACTTAAAACATGGCAAAATAACATAAATTAGAAAGTGAGGTGAGAGGAGATAAACAAAATGTTTAGCCGTTGTGGACTGTGAAATCCCTAGGGTATATGAGAGGCGGCCCAGCAGTTCGGGGCACATGCTTTGGAGCCAGAGGGTCACATTAGCAAGTTTTGCATCTTTCTGTGCCTTGGTTTCCTCATTTGTAAAAGGGGTACAATAATATCTACCTCATAGAGTTGTGAGCAGGAAATGAGTTAACACATAGGAATATTATAGCTTATTATATGTATACATACATATTGTACTTTTATAATCTACATGAATGTACATTAACATATATGTATATGTAAATATACGTAAAGCCAGGCACATAGTAAGTGGATGTAGAAGTCTTAGTTCTTAGTATTAAATTGCTAGATCTTTATAGAAATTAAAAATTTTTTAAAGAAGAACATTTAATTACATGGAAAGATGTTCATGACATATTATAAAATGAAAAAAAGCAAATTACAAAATACTATGCCCCAAAAAGCGCTGTGCACAGTATACTCTCATTTTTATTTTTTTAAAGTATGCATAAAAAGACAACATTGTTAATTGTGGTTATCTCTGGATAGTGAGATTACAGATGATTTTTATTTGTTTTTGCTTGTGTGTTCTCGATTTTGTATAGTAAAATAAGAAGGAATGCTAAGAGAAGAAAGAAAAACCAAGAGGGAAGACAAAGTGGAGATGGGAATAAAGCTAAAATGCACCCTGGAATGCCCTATTCACCTCCTGTGGGTGGGCCACAAACTTGTCCCTAAGCTTTCCCGCAGCCAAAATGAAAAGGAGACCATGGCGGTTACACAATTCTCAGTGTCCGTGAGATAAAAACAGACCTATTACTCAAGAGAATTACAACTGTTCTTGGTACTAAAATCAGACAGGAATTTCTCCTGGGGGGCCTCATAAAGGGCACACAGTGTGAGGTGATGAGCAAATGATACCCGCATACAGCCACCACCATGAGCTCGTGGGGCGGATGCTGTGATGGCCCGCGGTCTAAGCTGATGGCATCGCACACAAGTCAGGAAGAGACTGGCAAGGAGGGGTCTCAAAGAGGCAAATCAGGGTGCTCGGCTCACTGCCCACCGGACTTGGGTGTATTTGGGGGTATCTACAAGACTGGATCACCGAGTGCTCTCCAAGCCTTCCTCCACTGTTGTTGCTGACCGCAGGGCGTATGATAGATCTGGCGTGGCAGCAAGTTGGAAGTTGCCCTCCCTGGAGTGCAGCTGCTCTACGTTGCCAGCTGAGCACAGTGGTCTCAGGTGTGTGTGTTGGGGGCACGCGCGTGGTGGGGCATTTTCCACTTTTATTGTGGTCACTTAGGTCTAAGCTTATCTTCGTTAGTAGTGCCTGGTGGGCAGACTGTCGCCTTGTATCCTAGAGTTCTGGAACATTCTGGGAGACAGTAACGCTTGTCTACCTCCGTTCAAAACCCACCTCCCTGTCACTTGTATAGTTGGTCCAATCCCAGTCCCACACAGCGGCCCAGACCAAGGCTCTGCCTCTTTATATTTTTGAAATCAGCTCTCTATCATCCTCTGTTTTATCTCTCCTAGGCAAAGTGTTCTCAGTTCTTTTAACGAGTTCTCATACGACACTGTTTTCTGACCACTCCACAGCCTCTCCCAATGCCCTCTCATTTGTCAGTGTCCCTTCCTCAAGTATACTGCCTTTTGAGGGGACAAATGAAAAAAACAGATGTCCAAGTGTTGTGAGAGCTTCTCAAAGTGAGGGTTATAAATACACACCCAAAAAGGCATGTCAGGCTCTGAGCAGCAGGATCCGCGGTACCAACTGGAGTTCAAAACACAATAGTGCGGCTCTTGGGTGAGAAAGCAAATTCCCAGGTGTTTCTGCAAGGAATGCGTCGGGAGGGGGAGCCGCCATTCTTGGCGCCCAGCCTTACCTGTGAAGCCCGAGGATCATCCCGGGAGGAGGAGAGTGTGGCAGTTTCAAGGAAACTTAGAAGTAGCTGAGTAGAAGGAAGAAACCGGGAGACTCGGGTATCCTAGAGTTTCAAGGAAGGAGGGGCAGTGAACACTGTCACGTGCCTTCAAGGTCAAGATAAGATCTGAAAGGAGTCCTTTGGATTAAACTACAAGGAAGTCATTGGTGACCTTGACTAGCAGTGGCAGAGGAGTGGTGGGGACAGAAGCCAGATTGCCTCAGGTTATGGAGTGAAGGGGAGGTGAGAAAGTGGAGATAGCAAGTGTAGACAACTTACAAGAAGTGTGAAAACAAGGGGTCGGAAAGAGATAGGGTGATAGCAGGAAGGTGACATGGGATTGAGGGAAGGTTTGGATTTTCTATTGTTGTCTATAGGATAAGGCTATTTGAACACGCCTAAATGTTGATAGGAAGGAGCAGCAGGAGAGTTGGAGACAGATAAAACTAGCCTTGCAAAATTGGTTGGTCAGGCACTCTGAAAGCTTCTCTTGTTTCAGTGGACTAGGAAGCACCACCATCTGCTGAGAGTGAGGGAGCACTGGAGGTTTGAGGATGGGGGAGAGGGCTTGATTGGGTCATTACAGAGAAGAAGATAATGCTTGCTGGGCAGATAGAGGTCTTATTGAAGTTGGCGACCTTCTATGAGAAAGAAAGTCAACCAGCAAAGTCACAGGACCCCCACCCCCCAGCAATGCTCAATAGCCCCCTGTGTAGACCTAGAGAAAGCAGAATCATTGGATTCATCTAGAGTTAAGAGTTTGTTCCAGGAGGTGGGACAGAAGGACAAGGGGAAGAGGGCGGCTGATGTGATGGACCTTGGAGACAAAGTTTAAGAGAGAAGGAAGTGAAGACAGGACACAGATGGAAGAGGAAATGTGTAAGGCTATGCTGTTCAATGTGGTAGCCAGTAGCCACATGTAGCTATTTCAATTTCAGGTGGAATAGATTAAAATTAAATAACATTTAATGCTCAGTTCCTCAATTACCCATGATGTGGATAGCACTAATGGAGAGCACTTCCAACACCACAGAAAGTTCCATCGGACAGAGCTGGTCTAGAAG